AAAAAGAATCATCCAAGTTCATAAAGTGGATACGACACAAAAAACCTATGATTCCAGTCTGATGTCAGGTAGATCCACTATGTCAGAAGGCAGTCATATTTAAGCACACCGAAATAGTATTTCTCTTGGTGTTTGTTTTCCACAACCAGGTCTTTGATAGAGGTAAAAATAGCTTTACTTACCATCACTCTGGAGTTTTTTATTTTTCTTCAAAATAAGCAGAGTTTGTGTTCCTTTTGATACAATTCAGTGATAAGCAAGGACTAAGAGCACTTTTTTCTCAGTTGCCATTATTTTATTTCCTTCTTGCTGCCTTCTTTGGAAGGGAAACAGAAGTGGCTGGGGGCGATGTAAAATTATTTTTTGAGTTGTGGGAGATCACCTTTTTGACAGCTATGAAAACAGCTCTATTACTTTTATTGACAGATGACTCAACCAGATGTTCTCTTACTTGTGCAAGAAAGTCTCCAGAACAGTGGTAAGAAAAAATTGCTCCCTTCTCAACTCTGTTAAACTATTACTACTTAGTATTGCTTAATTCCACCTCTGTTGAACAGGTAAACCAATGCTATTCTTTTTTAGAAAGAAGTGGGACTGAAAAGTCCTACAGGAAATAGTATATTGGCAGAACTAACTTTGGTTTGGTGTTCAGTTTTACAGCTATTGAAGTCTCATTATTTGTGTTGATATGAGAAATTCCTAATGAGAGGTTTTCTTCTACGTTGTAAGTGAAGTTGTCATTAACTTAAGGCACACTGTGCTGTCTTTCTCCAGACTGCTGTATTAGCCCTGTATAGTAAGAAAGTAGCGTAAGCTCTTCTAAGATGTGATCAGAAACTTGGTGATGTACTTTCAGATTATGGTCTCTTTTCCTACAATTATGTGCACATGGAGTGAGGCCATGTACAAATGACTGTATACAGACACATGTTTTTTTTCGGATAATGAATACAACTCTGTGCATAATACAATAGAGTCTAATATAACTCTTTACTTTACAGGCAAGTAAAGTTGAAGATCTTAAAAAAATGCACTTACTCAAAACAATTCAAGCTTTTACAGGCAAAAAAAGGAAAAGCTGAGAAAGAAACTCTGTCCTTTTAAATGTAGACTGCAAAAAGTAGCTTTACTGCTTTCTTGCCTTGCTTTATGCCTACAGTTGGGAAATCAGACTGTATGGTTTCAAATATATATATTAAGCATGCATATATTTACTCACTTAGATTTTTCTCATCGCCACCCGCACCCCCGCTGTTGTATGTACATCTTCTTGTCTGGTCAGATGGCCATTACAGTCTTTGAGAATGTGGTTATTTTTCAAGCAGACTGGAGGAATGAGGACCCACATCTCGTAAGACTTTAGGATCTCTAATGTGTTTTGAAAGCAAGCAGTATTTGCATTAACACCTTGTCCAAAGCCTTTTTCTGTGAGGCAGAAGATACAGGGACAGACAATTAGGCATTTGAGGTACCTCAGTGGCAAAAGCAAGATGTTTTTAAAATAAGTCAGGTGTCCAAATGGCTAGGTAACATCGAGAAAACCTTGTCATTTCAGAATTTTTGAGTTGGGTGTCTAGAATTGTTTCATACTTTCCTCTCTACCTGACCCAGTAAAATAGTAAGGCATCAAAAAATAAGCCCAGTTTGGATCAATAAACTCCACTTGGAGAAAGGACTGCAGTGGTATCTGTACTTTTTTAGTGTTGAGGTAAAAATGTAGCTGAATGGTATTTGGAAACCTATATGAAGAATTAGAGGAAAAAATAAAAAACTAAGCATAGCTAGAAGACATTACATCATATCAAGTAGCCTGTTCTGTACTTAAATAGAGCACTTCTAGATTACAAGGGAAAATAAACTTGGATATTTTCTTTCTGTCTAGTACTGACATAACGCTCTGGTCTTTTCCTCTTTCACACTAACGTTTTACAGATGTCATTGGTCTGTCTGTCTGACTGGATTACAGAAGCCAGCACTCAACAGAAATATACCTACTTAATTATACTTACTGTGTATATGAATTTTGAAAAGTTCCTTTTTTTCCTTGAGTATTTTCTTAATCATATAGACGATACTCTTCCCATCACATGTAAAAAACTTGCTTTAAAAGAGTGACAGGATTAATCTATCAGATGTACTGAACTATTTGTCTCAAAATTAGTCGTTTTATTAAGAAGTTGCTGTACTTCTCTAGTTGCATCCAGTTCAACATATCTTTTTTTGTCAGCACCATGCGTAATGTTGCTTCTTTTTCTTTCTCCCCCCTAGAATCTTTTACGGAAGTTGATGCAGATTTCCATGCTAGAATACCAGTGGTGGTGTGCAGAGAAAAGCAAAGGTCTCGGTTGTCACTTTGTGTGTTCTAGTAGTATATAGCAATGTAAATTATATGTACCAACAGCTGAAAAATGACGTTTCTGTACTAAATTATTACAGTTCCATGGATCTTGAAACACAAACTAACACTCATGGGCAAGTCATTCCTAGCCTAGAATAAGAGGGTAAGGGTTGTTCTGTCCTCAGCTGTGTATTTCCCAATCCTTTCAACCATTATGGCTTCCAGCATGCACCCTTACCCTTCCATTTGGGATAACTGCTTAAGCAGAAACTTTCCTTCCTTATAGGCAATGTCAGTAAAATACTAAATTATGGATTTCTGTAAGGGCAAGATCGGGTTGCTTAGCTTCGCTAGTATTGTGAGAACAAGTGAAAGACATTTTATTTTGCCCAGGTAATAGATATCACTGAAGATTCATGAAACATTCTATAAACAGCTACCAATACAGAAATATTACCAGTTATTTGCTCCTACTGGGATCTTTCATGGTTTGAAATTCTTTCTTGTGCGGTGGAAAGAGCATAAAAACTATATTCTGGTGGGTGTGGTATGGGAAGATGGTTTCGATTCATGAAGGAAATCAGTACTGTAATTTTTATTTTTTTTAATTCAGTGAATTTATGTAATTAGAAACAAATACTTAAATTTGTTTTCCATGCTTCTTTTAATGCAGATACAGTGTCTTTGAGAGGCTGTCAAGTCATTCCTTACAGCCTTCTGCCACACTGTTTTGTGAGATGTCATCTGACCTATGGCTGTTCTTACAAAACCTCCAAGATATTTTACTTTGTTTCTTTTTGGGTTTTAGTGGCCTTATTTGTAAAGTGAGTGCAGGGAATGAGAATGCTTGTCTGACAACGAACCATTTGGCTGCACTTGGAAAACTGGAACCTACTGTGGTACCTTTAGTGATTGCCTTCAGGTACTGGGCAAAGGTAAGAGTCATTTGTATTCTCCCATCTGCCAATAAATATTGAATAAATGTTAATATTACACTGGTAAGACTGTGGGTATGGTTTAGAAAACAGTGGTTGAAACTCCCTTTAGAAAAAGAGTTGTAAAAAAGTTATTTAATTTTCTATAAATTATAAATTTTATAAATTATATAGCTATCGTGTGTGTTACAATGTTCCACTACGTTTCAAAAGTGGAATTTTAAGCTTCAGCCAGTGACATGCAGACTCTTAAGTATACTGCTGTTAGCAAACAAGTCAGAGGAATGTATATGAAATGGAATTACTGGTTTGCCATGAGCATAATCTATTGTTAAAAAAAAAATAGAAAGAAAAAATTGTTTGTGTCCATATGTACATGAAAACTTTCTTATGAGTTAAAATAACTTGTTCCAAAACTTTGTGTACCTGCAATTAATATATGTTGTAAGAAAAACATTGAAAAACTTTTGACTTATACTATATCTACATAAAATGAGTCATCATTTTTGCAAATGTGCTGAATGCTCCCTGTTTTGCCAGTCTGCATCCTATGGGCCTTACACTGAAAATACTATCTATGATAATACATGACTCCAGTGAATATGCAGGCCTTGAGAACAAAGTCCACCTCACATGAGGTCAAAGATGTCTGGGTTTCTGTCAGTATTTAACATGACAGACTACTGAACAGTTATTAAAGACCATTTTTCATGATATCACTTGAAACTTTAATGACTGCACAATTTATTTTTACAGTTGTGCTGTGTTGATCGTCCTGAAGAGGGAGGCTTGTCACCTCATGTGTTTGCTTTAATGGTTATTTTCTTTCTACAACAAAGGAAAGAGCCTTTTCTACCTGTCTATTTGGGATCATGGGTATGTGTATTAATACACTGAGTAGTACAAATGAGAAGATAAATCACTTGTGGTGGTGTGTAACCTGTCAGCTTCTTGCTATTCTGAGCAAGCCATAAGCCAGCCATTTCTGCAGGAATTCAGAAAGAATGTGAATTCAGCCAGACTACACCTAACCTTTGTATACTTGGCTGTAAGAATGCAATTCACAGTCTTAGTCATTGAATTAAGTGCTCTGTTGCCCCTTGCGTAAGTAGAGATGGACCTTGAATAACGCACTTCCTAACAACCTTCTCCTTCTTCGTTTCTTCAGCCTTTCTTCCAGACTCTTGAGAACTCTGAATTTGTATAGCCATCCCAAAACAATGTCTTGGATTTTGACATCTGATTCTTCAAAATACAGACCAAAGTTGGGCAGCACACTGATATGATGTCTGCTCGAGGGATCAGACTAGGGGTTTAGAGTGTGTATTTCTTGAGTTTAGAAGCTGAAACACATCTTATTATCAGGAGTTGTATTATGGACAAAATCCAGAAACCAGTTCTCCAGGACACGATTCAGGTGTTACATTCATGGCACCCCTTTTTGTTCTTATAGTCACCTGTTATAGTTAGTGTGCATGTTGAAGTTTCCATAAGCAATTACATGGTCCTTGCAGTTAACCATCTCCTTCAGTACATGACTGACTCATTTCTAGAGCCTCTCCACTCTCTGCATTGAATGAGAGAACAGTCCTATAGTCTATGGCCCTATAATTAAAAAATACCTGTTTATGCTTGTGTAATGTGCAAAGGCAAGGTTCTATGACAGATAGATACCCTTCCAAAAGCACTGAATTCTGTAGACGTTTTTGTAGAGAATTATAGGGAGAAGGGAGAAGAAGATTGGGGCGTGTTCTAGGCCTCAAACAGCTATTTTTAAATTTTGTTCTGTTTTAGTTTGGCTACTACCATGAGAAGAAAAGATTTAAAGTTCATGTGATGTTTAGCTGTATGTTTACTTTTCTATTTCCTTTAGATTGAAGGATTCTCATTAAACAAATTAACTAATTTTCATCTGAAAGAAGTTGAGAATGACGCTGTGGTTTGGGAGCATAACCCCATTGATGATTCGGGTTTGCCACAAGAAACTTCCTCAAGAAGGGGCAAGGTCTGGACTATCTAATTTACTTCTACAGTAGTCTAACAGTCATTGCTGTTCTCAAAAAAAGAACCATCACCATGTTTTTTTGTGTGTGTGTTTATGTTGCAAAGCCACAAGCTGAACTAAGGGATTGCATCACTGCTTGATACTATGCTTACTATGCTTACCTCTTGGTGCCAAGAAGCTAGCGGGAAACTAGGTGTTATTTCAAACTCTTTGATAAGACCCTGGGTATTAAACTGTCAGAGGAGAATATAGTTTATAGAGTTGAACGAATTTTATCTCAGAATTAGGTTAAGCATATGAAAAATATTTCATTTTAGCTCTGAACTAGTCTTACAAATTATTTATTTTGTAACGACTTTGCAAGAAACAGTATCACTATATGATTGCATGTTATGACAGTTAACAATACAGCTTAGGCTTTGCTAAAAAATAGGCAATATAATGAATTCTGTCCAATTAGATTAGATATGATATTTTCTTGGAAATTTACAAATTATGGCATAAACACTTAAATAAGCAATTGCTTTTAGTCACTGATGCTATTATTAATCATTGCTGCAGTCTTTCATTTTGAAGTTCTATAATCTGAGTTTATACTATGTCTTCCAATTTTTTGATTGCAGTTTTTACTGCAATTGCAGGAGTATAGAAGCAATTATAAATTTTGTAACGTTTCATTGCAGATGAAATACAAGGAAGTGTAACAGCTAAACACCTGTGCATTAAATATTGCTTAAGCTTTTCTTCTGTATTTGACAGGTTCCCTTAGTATTTGGTTCAGGACAGCAATGTTCAGCACATGCTGGTCAGCTCTGGGTAGAGCTACTTCGTTTCTATGCCTTGGAGTTCAACATGGCTGATTTGGTGATTAGCATTCGACTCAAAGAAGCAGTGTCTCGTGAGTCAAAGGACTGGCCTAAAAAGCGCATTGCTGTGGAAGGTATATATATATATACAAGCTTCAATTTAATAGCTACTTTAATTTTGTAGGGTACTGTCTTGGCTATTGACATTGTGTGTGATAACTTAAAATTTTTCAGTATTGGACTGTGATTCCCAATAATATGGTAGAATATGTTTTGAAAAAAAATCGATGTAAGTGATATTTCTCTTTTTTTTTTCAATGTTATCAAAAGTAATCAAGTGGACTTAAAAATTGTCTTCAGCATAATTCGTAGATCTTATGTCCCTACACAATGTTTTAGAGTAACTAACAGTAGCATATCCAAATTACGTAAGGAAGTTAAGTGTATTCTTTTTTTAAAAAAGTTAACTCCTGCACTGCTGGCTTACTTCTTCTTTCTACTAGACCCATATTCAGTCAAAAGGAATGTGGCAAGAAGTTTGAACAGCCAGATAGTGTATGAGTATATTCTTCACTGCCTGAGAGCAACTTACAAGTATTTTGCCTTGCCTCACAAAAAAAATGCAAAATTGAGCAAAAAATCCTCTCCAAGTACCAATGAGGAGACATTCCAAATGCTAAGCCATGGAAAAGATGCTATAAAGCACGAAAATTCCGAGTTCCGAAACTTGGATGGTAGAACAAACACAGCCATGGTGGAAGATTGCGTAACGGAGACTACAGGTATGCCCCAGGCACATAGAATTGATCCATCAAAACTGTGTGATGGCTCAGAAAGCTTCACAGAAGAAGAACTGGCTGATGATATAAGTCATTTGGGAATTGCCCATGAAGATTCAGACTGTATAATTGAGGAAGTTATTTCTGGAGATAATGAGGATTTTAAACCAAGTTGTGAAGAGACAGAGAGTGGAAATGAAGAGGAAGAAGAGGAGGAAGAAGAAGAACACGAACAACAAAAATGTAGCTGGAATGATATCTTGACTACTGAACAGGGAATAGATGAAGACAGTGACAGTGGAGATCTGCCTGTCACAGTGAATGAGCATGATATAGAGACATGTAGTACCTCAGACTTCGAAGGTTTTCAAAATGCTGCACTTACAGAGAGCGATGAGTTTGGCTTAGAGTGTGGTGGTATAATGGATGGCAAGATTGACATTGATGAGGAGAGCACTGAAGGTACTGATGAACTGGATGAATCACCCCAAAAGTTAATACGTTCAGCACAGAGTCAAATAGCCCAAATGAATAACTCGGATGATGAGGAGGAAGAGGAGGAAGAACTAAGTCTTGTAGACCAGAGAAAGTGTGGTGTTGTCGTAAGAGCTGGAAATGAACTAGGCAACACATACACTGGATCTGGAGAAGATGATGCACTGTCAGAGGAAGATGGTGATTTTTCCATCCCAAATAAACATGAGGACAAACATTTTGAAGAAAATGCAGATGAACTTCTGAGGATCAATTTTAGTCAAGAGGATCTTACTGAGAAGGGAAGCCTTTTTGAAGACAGCACAGCAGTAGAACAGTGTTTGGAATCTGAACTCTTTTACGAATTCAGTAAACCGGCTTTTACAAAGGGCAAGGTAAGGGAGCTGTGTCAGAACATAAACATATTGCTTGTGTTCTGGTATCAGTTATATGAAACTGTTGCTCAAATTCCTTAAAACGGTGTAGTTTTTAAAACCGATCTTGCTTTTTGTTCATGCAGTCTCCTACAGTAGTCTGTAGCTTGTGCAAACGAGAAGGTCATTTAAAGAGGGATTGCCCAGAAGACTTCAAGAAGATTGAGCTTGACCCACTGCCAGCACTGACACCCAAATTTTCAGTTATTCTAGATCAAGTTTGTGTCCAATGTTACCGTAAGTTTTTTCCTTTGAATATTGTTGTGCGGTAGTTAAAGAGTTGGAAAAAAAAAAATTAACCACAGGCTAATGGTGTTCTAAAGGAGGCCGGTTTATTTGCTGCACTGCACTTAGATAAAATTCTAAGATTTGCAAGGGCTTTAATAGGGCTACTGAGTAGTTTGTATCCAGAGAAGTACAAAGTGTTTAGGTTTATCTTCCACACACTGGCTGGCTGATTACTCATTCAGGCATCTTCTAAGAGTTAAATTCTGGGTGGGTTTTTTGACTGATGCTTTTACATTTCTGTCTACTTTGTTACTGTTCTTTAACTTGTGGGTTAGTAAACAAAGACTTCAATGTTCTAGAAAAAATGGAGTCAAAATATTGGTTTGTAACACTTCTCCACTTTTGTTCTTTTCAGAGTGACCCAACTTTCCTCCTTTCTCTCTCGCCATTTCTGACCAGACAAAATGCATTATTTGTCTAATTAATGTTTTTCTTTGAACAGGTATTTCGCTTCTACTTCATCTTTGCTTTGTTTCCTTCACATATGAATCTTCTCTTGCTTTTTCTCTCGCCCCCCCACTATAAACTCCTCACTTTTTTCATTTGAATCTTTGCTGTTGACTCTTTCTACAGATCAGATTGCCTGAATTGTTGTCTTTTTTTTTTTTAAGATGATTTTGCTTCAAATATTGTAGAGGATCAGGCTCGGGAATATATAAGACAAAACTTGGAAGATTTCATTAGACAGGATTTCCCAGGTAATTAGGCAGTTCTAGCTTTATATTTATACTTTAGTGTGTTCATATTTGAGTGTTTTCCAAGAAAACATACCGGCATAATAAATACTTTCATTTTAAACATGTAACCTATGTTGTTGCTCAGCATTGCTATACTTCATTACATTGATTTCTGTTTTAAGTCTTTTAAGGCTTTGGTTTAAGTCTTTTACTTAGTCATATATACAACACATTAGTAGGAAGCAGCAATGGCAAGTTAAGAAGAAAACAATCAAAACAGTAGTGAAACAGTTTTTTAGTTGTTATTTTAGCCTTATTCATTAGCTAGCTTTCTTGTTGTATCTGCTTTTATAAACAACAAGTTTTTTGTAGTCCTTCCTACTGAAACTTACTGGTTTTAGAATGTTTTAAAATATAGGCAAATGATCTGACCTGTCAGCAGAACTTAGCTATTTGATTTTTTTTATTATTTTTTTATTTCTGCAGTTTTTACCTGTAACACCTGGACTTCAGTTCATAGTCTTTTAAAATTAGCAAAAGATTTTTTTGGCTGAAACCTGGTATGTGGACAGATAAGTCACTTATCCTGAAAATCTCTGTAGAGAGCAGTCTTACGTATACTATCAGGTTTCAGCTTGGGCCTGCATGCTGATAATTTAATTATTGAAAGACTCAGTTTGTTTCTGGATCTGTCAGGCTACTTATTTGAACCAATAAAAGTTAGAGATTCTTTCCTCTTCAGCGAAGTTGATAAGCAAATAAGTTTTGATACACCGTAGAAAGATAGTAATGTTTTCATGCCTGTATTAAAACCACCGTGCAGTGGTTTGAAGCTATGTACAATTTGAGATTCTCCATTGATTTACGCTTGTGACCCATCATGTCTCTTACAGGAACAAAGCTGAATTTGTTTGGCTCCTCAAAAAATGGCTTTGGCTTTAAACAAAGTGACCTTGATATATGTATGACAATGGATGGGCTGGAAACTGCTGAGGTAGTTTGAAAAGCTATTTTTTTTTTTTAAATAAAGTGCAGAATTTTATAGTTTTATTGTGTATGTGTTGTAATAAATTTATTATTTTATAAAAGCTTTTTCAAATTAGAAGAAAATGCAAATAGGTGCCACAAAGAGATTATTTTAAGGGATCTTGCTGTTGGTCTAGGCATGAGTTTAAGAACTACTCTCAGTAGTCAGTTTTCTTCTGAATTCTGCACTATCGTTACTTTTAGCATTAGCTGTGGACATAAATAACATGCTTGATGTATAAACAACTAGAATGGGAGACTGTAAAAGGATGTAAATCTCCTTTAATGCCTTACATAAACTTTTTATAAGCCTATGTTAAGATACTATCCACTGTTGATTTGACAAGTGCTTCTTTGAAAAAATTTCTGGTGTTCACGTAATTCTGTATAATAGCAAACTCTCAGTTATACAGCTTTAAGCTTAATGGCAAGTAATAAAAGGTTTGCTTAAAGTACTTGTAGCAGATACAGCTTTCAACTTTTTTTTTTAATGTCTTAGGGACTTGATTGCATCAAAATCATTGAAGATTTAGCAAAAGTTCTCAAGAAACAGTCAGGTAACTTTCTTTAAAATAAGTGGTTCTGTTTATGTGGCTTCAGTTGCTGTAGTGAGAACTTTCTGGGGCACTGTAGATGAAAATCAAGATAAAGCTGTGCCGAAGAGCTTCATGTTAGTAAGAGTGAGGTTATACGTTGCAAACATCTGGATTTATTTTTGTTTGCACATATAGATGTATGAGGTTATAATGTTATAGGACCACATCTGAATAGGACAGATAGTGTATTTATAACCTGCATGCATAAGAACAAATCTTAAGTTAAAGCTTGAGGCTTCATGTTGGTAGTTATGTTGTATTTGTGTGTTCAGTGCCTAGTAAGTTAATAGTAAAACATAGGCTGATGCAAGTTTGCAATGGGAATTCTGTTTTTTTCTACAAGAAACTATCATTTTATAGTGCTTTTTTTGGTGTATCTCACTTGAATTTAATATAATTGGAGTGAACTATCAATGGTCTCTTAAGCTTATTTTTCTGTAACATTTAGACTGATCTTTGTTTTGTTGGGGATCTAAATGTGTATTTGTATTTATTACATTTAGCAGTTTCACCATATTTGACAAATGCCTAAAAATAATATAACTGAAATACAATTTTGGTATCAACTAAGATTTTGTTTTGTAGCCTTTTTACTACAGTTTGGAGTTATTTGTAGAGCATTTGATACTGTTATGACTGTATTGCAGTTGTTCAGTAATTAAACATCTCCTTCTAGGTTTAAGAAATGTCTTGCCTATAACAACTGCTAAAGTCCCGATTGTCAAATTTTTCCATGTCAGAAGTGGTCTTGAAGTAGACATCAGTTTATACAATACTCTGGTAAGGTTCTCGCCTTTTTTATTTTATTTTTTTCAACAGAGAAATGTCAGTCTGCTTCTCGAGATTGAAGTGATTTTTTTTTTTTTTGGTTGAAGTTCAATAATCAACTGTTTGCAATTACCCATTGCAGTTTTAGATTTCTGAACAACCTCTTTTAATTTTATTTTTTTCTATGAGTGGAGTTAGTTGCACAATTGCGACTTTAGAGTTGTCACTTCTCTAAGAAAATATATTAGTTCTTCAGTAATAGTAAGAAGTAGTGGTTTAAGTGTTCTGTAAATGCAATAAAACAAAATAATGTAACTTCAGCTTTCCTACACCTCACTTACCATCATGCCTTAAGAACTGGAGTAGCGCTTTTGAACCTAGCTTGCCTGAACTGGAACATGAGTTAGAATTTACAAAAAGCCACAACTTCTTGGCAAAATATTTTAAAAACAAGTTTGGGGTGTTTTTTTCAATGTCTCTGAACGTCAAAAGCCAGTTCCTTGAAACATCAAAGGAAAACAAGTTTTAGAGCCAAGTATTAAACTTTCTGAAGTTTTCGTATGAGCTCAAGGGGAATCTTGAGGAAGATACTTCAACCACTAAGTAAGTCTGAAAGTTTTCTTCAGTTTATGCATCCGTATGGATCAGTTCATAGCTCTCACATTTCTGGGCTCAAATCTCTTCGTTCAAGAATTTACCTTTTGAAAATACAGTAGTAGATGAATGTGTCCCTTTCTGAAGTGCTGTTCTGTGAATGCTGCATTGTACCACTTCTGCACAGCGTAAGGATATTGATCAGCTTTTGAACGGAGCAGGTGATAACCAGAGTGTTGAATGCTTCCTCTCCCCATGTACGTTCTACCACACGGGGCTTCACATCCGCATTTCTTGAGCACGCGACTTAAGACTTTCTGGTTTTCATGTTTTCAGCTTATTCCTTCATTTTTTCAGAGCTCCTGTATTTTCTATGTGACTTTCTTATTTTTACAGGCCTTGCATAACACAAGACTCCTGTCATCATATGCAGCCATTGATCCTAGAGTAAAATATCTGTGTTACACAATGAAAGTCTTTACGAAGGTAAGTATATTTCAGATGTTCTGGAAGCAGCAATGCCTGAAGCAAGAGACAATAACCATGAAAGATACAAACTGTGTTTCTTTTTCTAGGTATGTGACATTGGAGATGCATCTCGAGGTAGCCTTTCGTCTTATGCATATACTCTTATGGTGCTTTATTTTCTTCAACAAAGGAATCCACCTGTCATCCCTGTTCTTCAGGAGGTACAGTATATTAAGAAAGAAACGAGTATCTGTACACAGTATTGACTAGAAGAATGTCAGTGCTGAATCTGATGGGCTCTTCTAATAAGTTTAAAATTATGCTTTCAGATCTACAAAGAACCTAAAAAGCCAGAAATTTTAGTCGATGGCTGGAACGTTTATTTCTTTGATAAGATAGAGGAGTTGGTGAGTAAATCAGAAAGGTTAATTTGAAATAGTGTTACCTATAGCTTTGCAAATGAAAAATAACTCCTTTTAAGAAGCATTGTCCTCAAATATGGTGATTGGATGTAGAAATGGAAGTGGAGTAGCTACTGCTTTGAAAATCCCAATCCCATGCTGTAAAGCTTTAAGAATATTGTTGGTTGTAATTCATTTCTGAAAAAAAAAATATGCAAAATCTGGAAAAATAGATTATGCAAATATTTTAGGATGTTAACGATGATTAATTGCTCTGTATCTCACATTACTGGGTGGAGACAACTCCTACAAATATCAGCTGCATATCGAGTCATAGCTGGTTAATCCTGTTGAATAATTTTGTATTAAATAGTCATATTAATTATTATTTTTTTAATAACAGGTAAAACATATTGTTAGAAGTTTTATTAGCTCTCCACTTTCGTTGTTAATATTTTTCAAAATATTTTAAAATTTATATTGGATTATTAATACCAGTTATGGAAGGAAGGGAAGTATTCTGGTGTAACTCAAGTTGTGTTTCTTTATAAAATAAAATATACATTGCTTGAGTTTCCAAGTTACGGAAATTATTCTGCTTAATATAAGTACTGGAAGTAAAAGTATTTCTGTCGTTTTCAGTCAGTTGTTTGGCCAGACTGTGGCAAAAACACTGAATCCGTTGGGCAACTGTGGCTGGGACTTCTCCGTTTCTATACAGAACAATTTGATTTTAAAGAGCATGTAATCTGCATTCGGAGAAAAAGTCTGCTTACAACTTTCAAGAAGCAGTGGACCTCCAAGTACATTGTAATTGAAGGTAAAGGCATGTCAAGTACGTGAATGTAGAATTTCCTTAATGCCTTTTCACAAGGCTTATTTATTTTCCTATTACTAGATTATAAATTGTTTTTTGCTTATGTTTTAAAGTCATTGTAAAATTCTCATTGAGTTTCAGTAGTGCTAAAAATTATTATTAGTTTGTTTTTTCCCTCTGCTGAAAAGAAGCTGCAAAGCAGACTTCATACTTCTCTTGATGACAGTAACTGACAGAAAAATAGATATAACCAAATCCTTTGCAAAAGAAATTAGCTGTAATGCAATTGAAGTTTTCTCACAAATACTAAGTTTAGCTAATTATACGTTTACATGACCGGTTTAACTCTGTGTGTGATTACACTGTTAAATAATACCATGGTGTCTATCATCTATTAATGCATTTTAGAAATGTTCCCTAGACTGCTTTCTGGCCCATAGGAATTTCTGCTCTCTCACTCACACATTCAATTTACTCTTTTGCAATACTTCAGTCTGTCCAGACCTGGATGGCTGTGAGCCTTTGTCCCTTGAGTTAATTTCTTTTCAATAAATTTGCAGACAGTTCAATTTCAACATATTAATTCTACATCGGGAATAGCTGCCTTGCATTGTTCCTGTGTATGTATACATTGCTGATCTTGCCCTGGAGTTGAGTAATACTTGTAATGCTTTTTGTGCAGACCCCTTTGATTTGAACCACAATCTTGGAGCTGGATTGTCAAGAAAAAGTAAGTCTCCTGTTAACAAATTTGGGAACCAAGTGAAGATCTTGTCTTAGATCTTATTTTACTGGCTTGTTTGATGTTTGGATGATGTTTTCTCTGCTTTTTTTTTTTTCTTCCCTAGTGACAAATTTTATAATGAAGGCTTTTATCAATGGCAGAAGGGTATTTGGTACCCCTATAAAAATATTTCCTAAAGAATATCCATCAAAAATGGTAAGTTGCTTCTAAGAGCAGTATGTGCATGCTCTTGGGTGTGTAACTTAACCACTTGCAGGAGTATGGTTACACTCTTTTTAAGTTCTTTCTTAAATTTTAAAAGTACTCTAAAAATCTTTATGGGAATTATTACTGAGTACTGTTTTCATGTTGTTTGCATGTAAAATATGTTGGCATGCAGAATACTAATCAAGCCAGAGCTTTGTTGTATAGGCTTACATATTTTAGTCCCTATCAAAACCAGCTTACCATTTCTTAAAACTGCAGTTTTAGAAAAGAGCTTGCAGACCTTGTGGTCAGCAGGCTGCCTGTAAAGGAGAAGCCAGTGGCCAGTTAATTTCATCAGATCTTTCAGGAGTTCAGCTATACACACAAGACTTACTCTTCTCTGTGACTCTTAACTGCTGTTTAATACTTGCTTATCTTTCTTGATTCCCAAGCGTATGGATTTTCATTTTAAATGCATGGTTATTCCTTTAGGAGTACTTTTTTGATCCAGAGGTATTAACGGAAGGAGAATTGGCACCAAATGATAGATGCTGCAGGATTTGTGGTAAAATTGGCCATTTCATGAAAGATTGCCCCATGAGAAGAAAGTGAGTATGGTTTTGACATCTGGAACATTCCCTTATGTTTATTTAGAAGAAGGATTAGGATAGTAATGCTAAAGCAAAACTTCTACATGCTGCAGATTATTTCCTTTACTGTTGAAATGGAAATATTTCAATACTGGTTTTGGCAGTGGTGGATAGTGTTGTTTTTTTAAATTTTGGTCTGTGTTGAGTCAATACTTAACTTCTGCCAGCATCATCTGTAGTGGTTTTTAACAGAATCTTTTCATAGAAGGCTGCAAAACTACTTAGATTAAGGTAGTAATGCTGACTCTGCACTTCATTATATAGGAAGACAGTAGTCAAAGAAAATGTAAATGCAGAGGTGAATAGCTGTATGCTGTGAAAAGCTCTCACAAATCATTTTATATATTTCCATTTAGCAGCTTCTACTTCTAGAATCTTGCTACTCTCAGCAAGACATGTTTTTGTTGTGCTCACAGAATCATGCAATTCATGTCAAAAAGCAAGGCAAGAATGTCACAGCATTATTTTTCTTAAGCACACACACAGGAGAACAATGTCCTCTTTTAAATCCAAGAGAAGGTTTCCTGATCCTGAGTAACCAGATGTCTAAAATTCAGCAACTGTCTTCTTGTAATAAATGAACGCTAAACTGATCTTCCTGCTCTTCATATTATGAACTGTCAAAACTAATCCATTGATCTTTTTTTTTTTCCTAGTTAAGACAAAGCTCTTTAAAGACTTCATGTCTATAAAATAGTGAAAATCAGCAAATAAAACTTCAAGGTGACAAAATCTTGAAAGCCTTTGTGCTCACTTGTAAGGTGAATGGAAAAATCTAACCTTTGATTAGAGTCTGTCTATGTTAAAAGCTGTATTTAAAAATCACCTGTACTTTTATCGGTTGAAGTAGCCTTTCTGCTACACAACAGGGAATTGTGAACTTACGTTGTTGAGACTATTAATTTTGGAATTTATTCAACTTAATGCGAGGACAGTAGCTGATGATAGTTTGAAAATTAAGCAAGCCGAAGGTGGTGTGAAAATCCACTCAATGTCTAAACTGCTGTTTCAGATGAAATGGATTTTTAATCTTGCACTCTGGAGTGAAACCACAGTTAATTGCACATACACAGCTATGTTCTATACATTAAAGCAAAATTCAGTGGGATTTTGCATCATAGAAAATAAATGCAAATAAATGCATTACAGAGTAAGATAACTGGTACATCTGAGTCCTCTGTCCAGGCATTGCAATAGGAGATGCTGTCTATGGAGGGCACGCTAGCTGACTCTTTCTGTATTCGCTTCTCATGCTTTCCCCCAGCATCTGCAGTTGCTGTGTAAGAGATTAACTTAGAGCACATACATGCCCTCGCCTAGTAGTATTCATTTGTGGACTGGAATTGTTTGTGATTTTGTTACTTTTGTTTGGTTGTTTTTTTCTGAACTTGATGCTCCTGTTTTCCTTACAATCTTCTGTGGCATCCAGTTCCCTAAGTTTGCTAACTGATGTGTAAAGTAGTACTTTTGTTCATCTGTTTAAAGCCAATCTCATTTTAGTTTCATAAGCGTTCCACAGGTGTAGCCTTGTGGGATTTAGATAGTAATGATACTGCCTTGATGATTTTGTAAGCCGTGATTGTGTTCACCCTCTATCTTCTTTCCAGGTTGGAGGGTCTTGGCTTTTTTACTGTCTCTTCCTTAAGCTCTTGCTCTCTTCATGTTTTTAGCTGCCTTTCTCTGTACCTTCTCTAACTCTAGTACTTCCTTCTTAAAATATTGAGACCAGACCAACATGCAGTACCAAGATGTGGGCATGCCATGGTTTTAAGTAGCAACAAAATGATGTCTTCTGCCCTGTTCTTAGTGTTTTATCCATCCTATTGCTACACTCCCTGATAAAGAATCCCTCCTCATCTTTGCTGTAGGCCCCCTCTAGGTACTGGAAGGCTGCTATAAGGTCTCTTCAGAGCCTTCTCTTCTCCAGGCTGAACAGCCCCAACTCTCTCAGCTTGTCTTCACAGGAGAGGTGCTCCAGCCCTCGGATCATTGTCGTGGTCCTCCTCTGGACCTGCTCCAACAGACCTATTTCTTTCTTATGTTGGGGTCCCAGAGCTGAATGCAGTATTCCAGGTGAGGTCTCACAAGAGCAGAGTAGAGGGGGAGAATCAAATCCATGATCTTGCCGAGCAGAGGTGAGACTGACCAGCCTGAGTTCCCCAGGTCTTCCTTTTTTTCCCCTATTTTAAAAAAGGGAAGCTCACTTTGAAGCGCATCTGCCATTCTTTTGCCCATTCATTCAGCTTTGTGAGGTATTTCAAGTTGCCTGCTGTTAGTACTGCATCTAACTGACCAAAGGAGCCTAGTGTCATCTTCAAACCTGGAAGTTTCACTGATGTCTCCTTCTCTAGATCATGTATAAAGAAGCTAGATAAAATCAGTCTGGCAGTGGTAGCTGTTTTCCCACTGCTAGATATTTAAGTCACATAGAATGTCAGAAGTTTCTCCCAGTAGAAGAGACTTTGAGATACTGTGAATGTACACAGTTTCAGAAGGACGGAAGTGAAATTTCAGAGTTGTACAAGAAGAAGAAAAGAATAGAACTATAGGCCTATTTTTTATATTTTGTTAGCATTTTGCTCAGTGTTTCCTTTTCTTCCACTGCCTTTGCAACTCCAGCACCCAGATTTTCTGTCGTGTTTATATTTTTTGAGATATAATTATTCGAATTCAGGAACGTCTTGTAATCTAATTGTAAAATGAAATTATTAAATATATGTTACATCAGTGTAGCACTGTTTGGTAGGAGAGTCAAAGGGACAGGTACATTACTTCACTTTATTTAACCCACTGCAGAAATACATTAAATACGTTTGTAGTCTGTAGACAGCACTTGGTTTTGGGGTGGTTTTGGGTTTTGGTTTTTTTTTTTTTTTTTTACTCTGAGTATGTATGTAAAGCCTATGAACTCTGCAGCATTTTTCTACTCCTGCAGATTAAGACGGCGTCGTGATTACGAAGAAGTAAAAAACCAGAGGTACACAGAAAGCAAGGAGAAGAGAATCAAAGAGGACAAAGAAACTCAGAATAAAACAACAGAAAAGGAGAGCTCAATCAAGGAGGCGAAGTTGCATCTATGTACACCTCAAAAGAAGAAAGTAGCAAGGGTGGCAGTGGAAACTGGAAGAGAGAAGACTCCCAGGCAATCAGCAGAGAAGTGGAAGCGCCTGGAAGACAGAGACTTAAGAGAAAAACGTTGTTTTATCTGTGGAAGAGAAGGTCATATTAAAAAGGAATGCCCACAGTATAAAGGAGCTGCAGGTATGAAACCAATCAAGCTGAGTAGTTTAAACAGGGCTTATGTTTTTTGGTTTTTTTAACAGGGTTGACTAAGAGGTAAGGTTTTTGCTTTGAATGGCATCACATAAATCTTTTTTTTTTTTTTTTAAATGTGGTCACATTTAGTCAGTTTTCCCTTCATCCTCCCTTACCTTTCAGAACTTTGCTCTATCCCAAGAGATTTGACACGGTCTCTCTTAGCAGGTAAGATGCTTGTAATAGAAAGCATATGAGTGTCTAATACGTTGAAATTGCTTCCATTGTCCTCCCTATATAAGAGTTTGCTAAAGTTTCAGATTACAGCTTCTTTCAGTACATCAGAATTGCAGCATAAGCCAGCCTTATGGCTCTTCACATCACCTAAATAAGAATTATCCCATAAAGACCCTGAAGTCAGTATGAAAGTGAATATGAATTCTATATGAATTCTTCATATAGAAAGATTCTTCATATAGAATATTGTGAATGAAGTAAAATAATGTTCCTGCCAACCCAGCAGTCAGAGGGATAGAGCAATCTGTCTTACTTGTTGTGGAGTTAGCTTGCAACTTTGCCTTAAAAAAAAAAAAAAACACTCTACAAAAATGTCCCCAAATCTAGATCCTGACTGACAGACCTGACAAAATAATTAAATACTTGCTTAGCAGTATCAAAGTCATGCTTCAAATAAGACAGTTCTCTCATCTGTATTGTAAAAGAAAGTCATTCTAAGATAAAATTGAGACTCCTTAAGACACTGAATGGTACTTTTACTTAGCTTCCAAGGGAACAGAGTAGGTGAGTAAACCTAGGAGCAGTTAAATTCATGCTGGAAAAATTTGCTCTACAGATTACTCATGGCTTGACCTCTTAAAGTAACAAATAGGAATCCTTTGTAATAAGGATTGTGTAGTAAATTGTGTAATAAACACAACTTCAGACCAGCTCTCTTCAACTAGTAAAAATGTTCTGTCTGGCTTAGATCAGGCAACCTTTCTTAATCAGGTGTAATTGGTGGGAGAGAGCATAAGACTGTGCTAACAAAGTGCTGGAAGCGGGATGAAAATGGTGCAAGTATATCGAGAACTTTCAGGGTATTTAGAAGTGTTCTTTGTTCAATAGACCACTAGAAGCATTGGGTGGACAGATAAAAAATGTTTAGAACAGAAGCCACGTTTTATTCAGCTTGTGACCTTTTGAAGGTGCACATCAAGTCTAAATTTAACTTTTGAGTTTCTTTGTCTTTGACCTTGTCTTGTTGAGCGTTTCTTTCTGCCATTTCATTTGCCATGGTACTGAGTTTGCCACGGTGGAAGGGAGTGCACCTGACTGTTTTGTGTAGTCAGTGACATTGGTGTATTTTATAACATTCATCACACAAGAACTATGCTGAGGCTGTACAGTACATACGCCTGAAATCATGAATTCTGGAGCAGGTGTTCTTGTCTATTATCTGTATTTTGGGAATTACTATATTTGAATTTGAAAAGAATTGCTCTAGGTTGGGCTTTGTCTTTTTTAGCTTGCTTAGTACCTGAAGTGTTCTCTGTAGTTCAGTAGAGGACTATGAACACCTGGACCTAAGAGGTCAGACTTGATTCTTTGCTGTGCCACAAACGTTTTGTGAGACTATGGACAATTCACTTATCACCGTATCTTCATTCATTCCTCGCAGTTCCCTGTTTCCCTCTGATTCTGGAGGAGGATACAAGGTTGTAGGTTCCTAACTTACATGCTTAACTATAGATGCATCTTACCTCATTGTGCCAGTTTTCCATGTTATAAAACCGAGCAAAGTGACAATGTCCTACCTTCTACGTACTGTGAAGTTAGATTGCAAATATTTTGGTATTTTTGTATCTTACAATAACTGAAATGGAAACAAGTTTCAAATTAGCAAGTCTTTGTTATATTATGATCTTTTCAGGTGGTTCAAAACCAGAAGTGTTGTGTGGATCCCCTTCTTTACCTAGCACTGCCAAACATGCTGGTAGATTAAATCAGGTAAACACTAAGTGTCCCTTTTCTTAGATCTTTTTCTCTTTAAATGTTCTGAAGTCCATATAAAGTAAGTAAAAATAGTTTTACTTAAGCTTTCAATGAGAACATTTATTTTTTTATTGTGGAATGCCATCATTCAGTTTTGTTGGTTCATCAATGCGTATATGTTGTTTATAGGGAGTGCTTATACACGAAGAAAAACAGAAACAAAAAGGCAAAGTGTTTTTGAGTCCCCAGTCAGGTTTGTATGTCTTCATTTCAATTCAGAAATTCTACGTAAAAGCATGTATTTTTAACTTGCTTTCCCCTTCAGCCCTTATGGGAGCTCTGCCTAATTTGCAGAATGCAGCAGCAGTCTGGACAGGGTGCTAGATAATTCTGAAGCAAAGCCACATTTTTTTGCTGGAAAAGCGTGCATTTTTTTCAGTTTTATTTTGGAAGCAAAACTTAGGCATGTGAGTTCTGTGCGTTTTTATTTCAACTTTGGTAGATGAATTTTGCAGGAGGACATGGTGGGTTTTTATCAATCTCCCCTCTCTCCTGCTTCGGCATAGATGGAGTTAGGTATTGCTTCAGGGACAACATGTGGAGCACTTTTTTGTGAGGCTTCCCCAGAGTGATTGTCTAGAATTCCACATGATCAGCTAACTTAGGAGAGATTGTCAAAGCACATCCTTGGTCTGAGCTGCCAAAATGCAAGGAGATTAAAATTACACTTACAAGTAGCAGTCAGATGGTGATACATAGGCCTTTATGTACTCTCTCTGAATGAGAAATGTTTTGTGTTTAGACGTATGGTAATTTCACACACTTACTAACAGTTACAATGAAGATTTAAAAGGCAACTGCTTTTTTTAATTACTTTGAGTTTCTAGTGCAACTCTGCAAGCCTTTTGGCAGCTTGGGTTTTTTCAATAAAATATATAAATCTCTTCTAGTGCACCTGAAGGGGACCTAAGTAGACTTTACAAACTTTAGAAAACTAAACTGCAATTAATTATCTCAAATTAAATTCTCGGGTTTTTTGGGAAGACACAGTATTTCCTGTTTTCACTGCAAGGCTGTTTCAAATCTAAGTGCGGGGATTTTAAACACGAAGTGATTTGTCATTAGGCGTTTTAGTTGAAAAAAAACACAGTAGTTTTCAAATTTGTGTTTTAATACTTCCTACTGTCCTTCAGCAGGTAATGATCTAAAGTTGATCTGTGTGTGCTTTCATTATAGTTTGACTTAACAGTCATTTTCTCGTCTGATTTTTTTCAGTTGTTTTATGTCTTGTCTTTTTTTCCTTTATTTTTCTTAAAAAACCTTTAAAGTCTGATGCTTTCTTCCTCCCAATCTTAGGCAGCCTTTCCAATAAATACATGACTCAGGGAAAAGCCTCACAGAAGAGGACCCAACAAGAATCATGAGGGATATTAAGCACTGTTAAATTGCAACACAGGCTCTTCATTCATTTTAAAAAATTTTCTTTGACTAAAGCATCTGGATTCACAGGACAGCAGCATAAAGAACCTTTAACTGAGGTTTAATGAAATATGGGTGGTTTATTTTAGATTGCTAGTACAAGAAACTGTGGATTTTAATACAGACCCCCTGCTCTTAAATAGATTGTTTGAGCATTGTAATAGAAAGCCATGATGTTTTGTATTTGTTTACTACATAAATCATATAGTAAACGGCAGGTACTAAAAATGGACTGTTTTCAAGTTTTGTTGTTTCACCTGACCATTTAAAAATGCACTAAAATTGTGTGCAAGCCAAATACATTATATTTTCTTCAAAAATTGATTTTTTTGAAGGAGCAAATAATATTTATTAATGTTGATTGTTTACTGAATCCTTGTGTAAAAGTGTTTGAAATGTTTGTAGACCGCTATATTTTTTTTTCCTGTAGAGTAATGAAAACATAGACACTAGTAAACATATGTAAAACAATCTCTGGACAAGCAGTGCCATTGGGATTTCTTGGGGTTTTTTTATTTCTGTGATTTATGGGAGTTCATTTGCTGCTGTGCTTGTGTACAAGAAGAAAGACTGAGAAACAGGTCAGTCCTGTTTGATGCTGCTAAGAATCTTTTTCAAGGCCTTGGGGATACAGACAAAAATGCTTTAAAGACCAGAGGTATTATATTTGGCAACTGGGGAAAACACATGTCCGTTTTCATGAAATGTGAAGAGGATCCTTGTACCAGCCAAGAATTTAATTAGTAATACGAACTCGAGCTTTACTTGAAGTCCTTCCAGAGTTGGTAATGTACCGTCTTATCTTGTTCAGGACAGAATTAGTTACATGGTAAAATTGAAACCACTGTTATTTATGACTTTGAAATAAATTTTAAAAAAAATAATTAAAAATCGGACTTAAGTTTCTGTATTTCTTCTTAAGTTGTAGTTTTCAGTATTCTTGACTTAAATGTTGAATTACTAGAATTATCTGGGTTTAGAAATGCCAAGTTTAGTTTTTTCCTTATCAATCTATTTTTATTAAAGTTCAAAGCTAGAACTGTCAAAGTGGTCTTCGGGCACTGGGATTCTAACTCCAGTTTTGGTTTTCATCCATCTGTAGCCAGCTATCTGTAAACTTCTAGATGTGCAAAAAAAAAAAAAAAGGCAAAAAAAATGTTTTGTATTCTTTCCACAACATATTTTCAAGCAAAATATTAGCCAGCAAAAAACAGAAAATAATTACTACTTTGTCTTCATATATTTATATTTCATCATATGAAATTGAGTCCATTTTTTTTGCTCAAAAATAAGTTCCTTCTTGTAGTTTTTCATTCATATCCCCCAAAAAAAAGAAACTGACATGCTTTCTGTATGTCTTATTTAGCCCTCCATTCAGAGTTACTTTGAGTTTTGCCTGATGAGAATGAAATGTGTAAGCCTGTAAGGGACTGTGGCATGATCTCAAAGATAGAAGTTATTTTAAAAAAAAAAAATCATATTTATGTCTTTTTCGTTTGTGATACTTTGTAGTTTAGCAGTGAAGTTTTCAACTGGAATTTCTAAACTCCCATCTGAACGAAAACACATTTTGCAGGTGCACCAGTCTTCTCACTTTGAAGCTTCTGCTTCCTTCTGCAACTATAAGTTCTATACGGTTACTAATCTCATAGACCTAAAATAAAACCTCCAAACCTGGGTTATATATTACGAGCATTAAACGAGCAACTAATAAATCCTTTGTTTGCTTAAAGGGCAGTTAAAGAGCACAGTCATAACAATGTGGGACAGAATAAACAGGGTCGAGGAGGCATACATATCTGCTGGAATAATTTGTTGTAAAATTTAGTAAATGGATTGAAAATTAAAATTGAAGAAAAGTAAGTTCTTCATAACAATTCTTGATATTCAAGATCTTGCTTGCCTTGTGGGAGTATGCAACTTGCCACGTACAAAGAAAAATACTGACAGAACACTGTGTTAATAAAAAGTTTCTAGGAAAAGAACTATATCAAAACTAACAGTAAAATAGTTTTAGTTTACCACTAAATTCATACTAATAAAATGCAGCAGTACATACCAATAAACTAATAGTTTAAAAGACCTCTTCTGGACCACCTGTATACTTAGTCCCTCTAATGATACAGAGGGACACTGAGTTAGTAGCACTGTTCGTTTGTGTTGCTCTTTTAATTTAAAAAAAAAAAAAAGTGCTGTTGTCATATTTCACGGAAATTTCACATGCTTTTGATGTCCCTGTTTCCAAAGTTGGAAATGTGTTGTGCTGTGAGTAGTTGGTGAAAAAAGGAAAAGGGCAACGTTTTGCTTCAGGTATGCAGCACAGTTAACTGTCTTCCTTACCTGGGTAATTTAGCCTCAGCGGTGTAACTGTTGTAGTTTGGCCCCATTAACTAAGCACTGCCCAGCTGCTTGCTTCCTCTCTTACCTTCTTTTGGGAATGTCCTGAAGATGAAAAGCACCTTAGGAAAAGGCTGTTTTTCTAACCCGTGCTCAGTCTTTTAATAATACTGAGATTCATTCAGCAGACAGGTGACTCAAGAATGATGACTGGAAGCATCCTAAAGAAGAGCAAGAAGGTAAAGTTCTTCCTGCCTGATGAATTGTGGATGATGGAGAAGGTATTCGTCCCCTCCAGGCATGCCCATGGCTGGCTTCAGCTTCAGCCTGATAGTGCGTGTAGCCCCTCACCCCAAGGTGGGTGTGTGTTGGTTGAGGACGCGTGCCTGAGCTGCATGAACGGGGGTGCAGGAAAGAGACGCTTTGTGTAGCTAAAGAAAAGACAACTTTTTTTATACACTCACTGCTTTTATATTTGAGGCTGAAGTACTGAAGTGGATTTAAAGTAAAATTAACGGAGTACTTTAATAAAAAGTACTTATTAGGCAACGATCAGTGGCATAATTACGTATGTCAAAAAGCACATTTACTGACAAGGTCTTCAAAATGGCTAAGGCCAGAACCAGGCACTGAAAGCAGGTGTGGCCATGAGATGCGGGCGTGCTGCTTGTGCTTTGCAGATACAAATAAATCCAGGTTTGACGCGTTATCTAGCGTATTTAAGGCTCCCGCCAGAGGAAATGAAAAACGGGTGCTCGTTTTCCTGCTGGCATAGCCACCATTCCATTTGAAGTAACGGGATCAGCCCTCCCGTGCCGAGGCTGTCAGGGCCCCTCACGAGTACCCGGCGGTCGCCCCAG